CTTTCTTTCTTTCTTTCTTTCTTTCTTTCTTTCTTTCTTTCTTTCTTCCTTCCTTCCTTCCTTCCTTTCCTTCTTTCTTTCTTTCTTCCTTCCTTCCTTCCTTCCTTCCTTTCTTTCTTTTACATTTAAGTAAAAGTATTTTTTTTTAAATAGCTTATTCAGATCATGTTGATTTTGATGCATTAATTTGTGTATTCCAAATGAATGTTTAGTTTTGAATGCTCTAGGGGAAAAATTGCTAGCAGATTAGCTGTTAAGTTTCTTCAAGCTAGTTTGAAAACTATTAACTGCTCAAATAATGTAAGTGTGTATTCTAATGTCAACTTCTAAGTTAAGAATTCTGCATTTCAGGCTCTCAACACTTGGTCAAACATCTATTATATGGTCAGTACTATCTTACCTTTGTGAAGATGCAGTCTAATTAATTATTGAGTGCAGTAGTTAAATATGATTTATGTTTGGTCGTCAACCAGTAAGTGTGACTGTCCTGTAAGAGTTCCTCCTCTGAGTATTTGTAGCAAATATTAAGAGAAAATGGTTAGTCAAAGTAATCATGGATTATGGTTCATAAAATCTCTTAAGTAAAATTAAGGGTCAGTATATGTCAACTTGTAGTTACTTCCATTAAAAAGTTCAAGGCTACTTAGTGGAGAGAAGACATTTAAATTACTGTGTCTTCAGATATAGAAAGAAAGAATGATGCTTACCATCCACTATTGTAAGTGATTATAATAAGGTATCTTCGCAGCATTTAAAATATTATGCATCGGTGTTGATAAGATAATTAAATTGTGAAGTTCTACTTTGGTTAAGTGTTATTTTATGACTATTATTAAAACAGATCATAAAAAGTAAACAAAGAAAGAAAATGAAGGAAAAAAAAAAGAAAAACATAAAAAATGGCCTCCTTTTTTACATTTCCACATAGGTGATCTCTATACCAGGAGATGAACTTGAACTTGGTTGGGCGGGAGACGGACCTGGTTGGGCGGGAGACTGGAGCCCCTCAGAGAATTTGGGATTCTTCCATTTTTACTGGGAGGGTTGGCAGGTATACCATGTGTTGTTATGTGAGTCCATCAGAGCCCCCCCGTGGCGGGGAGTCAGTCGCTGACTCTGGAGCACACTGGTTTCTGTCTGTGGCTTACCCATGAACAGTGGCTTGGAAGTGTCAAAGCATGAGAAGCATGCAGTCAACAGCATGTGCTGCTGTCCTCTTCTACATGGTTCTGCATGGAAATGCCAGGGCTGTCTGCCTCTGAGTTTAGCTGCTCCCTTCTTTCCCCCACAGAACTCCCTGAAGGCTTCCAATCGGAAGAAGAAAAGAACAAGTTTTAAAAGGAAAGCCAGTAAAAGAGGAACTGAGGTAAGTCTTTCAGAGAGATGTGTTAGGTATACAGCTTCCTCCACAAGAAGCTAAGTAGCCTGAGGATCTGGCTCACACTTAATTTTGTGATGTGCCTTCTACACACATTTTGTCCTTCAGCTCATTCTACCCACACTGGAATCCTTCATGTTCCACATCTATCAACCTATCCATCAGTTAGTCAAATCTGACCTGTCAGAGCATCTGCCCTTGCCTGGAATGTCTTTCCCCAAATGATGCCAATGAGAACTGACACTTCCAGAACTCTTAAAGTGTGCAGAGTAAAATCCAAAGCATAGCTCAGTTTTCTGGAGTGAGCTTTAGTGGGAGGGGCTTTGTTCCAGATGATGTGCACACGCTGCGCTGAGGATTCAGCCCTGTGGAATAGGACTCGGGTCTCAGGGGTGCTCGGTGGTGATCCCTCTTCCCTTGCTTTGTGATTGCATCCCAGCTGTCGGTGTCTGTTGTAACAGTGGTGCCTGCCTCTTCCAGCAGGAAAACAAAGGGCGTCCTTTTGTGATCAAGCCCATCTCCTCTCCTCTCATGAAGCCTTTGCTTGTCTTTGTGAACCCAAAGAGTGGGGGTAACCAGGTGAGTAATTTTTCACGAGTTTAACTCTGAATATTTGATGGCAAAGACACGATCCCCAGTATCCAGTAAAATAGTATCCTGGGAGCCCAGGTATGTGAGGTCTGCAGCCTGCCATTCTCCTTCCATACACAGCTAGACCAGAGGTACTTAGAAAACCTCAGGGCTGACATTTTCTTTACAGATTTTCTGGAAAGATCCATTCAGGGTTTCTCCCAGTTCATAGGTTTCAGTGAAAAGCAAAGATTTATTCGTGTTCATCATGGCCACACTGAGGAAGAAAACAAATAGAAGCGTTGTGTGGCCCCTATGTCCATTCCCTCAGTTTTCATGATTAGGAAAACCTTTACCAACTTGTCTTTATTTCTTCCTATTATAATTTAACCTGACTCCTTTCTCCCTGTCCACAGGGAAAGGAACAACCAGAGGTCATTTGTCACAACAATTGTAAACAAGTACCTCAAGGCCAGAGAAAATAATCAGTTTCTAAAGCCTTCATTATTTCATCTGTTCTCTGCCCATCTCTTTCAGTATGGCTTAATATTGACCCCATTTAGGAATACAAATACCTCCTTACAGAAGTTAATGGCATTCCTACAGCAGCCTTGCTCTGTAAGGACACAGCTTTCTCTATAATCCAGTCTTTTTATCTTTTTATCCATTTCTCTTCCTGCTCCCTGGGGCTTCTTATTAAGACTCTACTGTGGGCTTTGATTTTCTGCTATTTTCTTGGGAATCTGGATGTGAAAATACTTTTTCTGACCATGGAGTGTACGTACACTTTCCACTTCAAGGCAAGACATTTTGAAGTTTCCCCATCAACTAGTAGAGATTTGAGACTCTTTAATCACCCACATGAGGAAGGATGATATATCATTAGGGTTTTGATGTCACCATTGCTAAAATAATGGAAACTTTCACTAGAGTGAAAGTTTTTGTATGAGAGCTATGATTTGAAAGAAATCTCCAGTCTCCTCTTCTCCTTCTTCAAGATTCCTGATTGGCTGGAATGTGAAAATCAATCTCAGGACTATGAAGAACAGATGTTATAACACAGAAACAGTTTGTTTTCCGTAACCTTCATTTTCCTGTCTGTTAGTGGTGATCTCTTTCCTGGCCTAATAATATGGTTCCACAGTGAGTGGTAGGAAAAGACCCAGTGATGGTTTTCTTAGGGTTGATGCTCAGTTTGCCCTGACACGCCCACTCAGGGGCTGGCCTCTCTGTAGCCTCACAAGGTGATTGATGCACGTGAGAATCCAGAGACCGAGCAAAGTATGTGCAACGAGTTTCATGGTTTTGGTAGTCCAAGCTGGCTTTGAGCTCACTGGATAGCCAAGAATGACCTTGACCTTCCTGATCTCTCCCTCTCCTTCTGGGGCTGGGATTACAGCATGTGGCATCATGCTTGGTTAATGTAATGCTGGGGACAGAACCCAGTATTTCATGTGTCCTCAGCAAGCATTCTACTGCCTGAGCTACATCCCCAGCCCTGAAGTGAGTTCGTTAATCACGCTGAGCCACCCCACCTCCAAGGATGATTTTTTGTTTTCCATGTCTTTGCCAGCAAGCCAGTTGAGATATAGTCCCATTCCTGTTCAGTCTCTTGTCAGTTAATAATGACGGAAGACTTCAGACTTTACCTAATGCTGCTTCCCAGTTTATTAAGTACTAAGAGATCAAGGATGCTTCAGTGAATTTGGGGGACATCTTTTTTGTTAAGGACACAAAAGGTGAGTGCATCAGCCTGCAAGAGCTGTGGAGTTCCAGAGGGGACAGTGACTTGGAGTGATAAAGAAAGAGTGTCATGGAAGGGGCTGAACTGGAAGAGAGGAATTGTGTAGTTACATCCAAAAGGGAATATGAGAGGCAAGCCCCCTTTCTTCTCTACCATGGGAAATTTCTGGGCATCCTTCAAGGCTCACCATCACCCTTCCAAACCAGTTTTCAAAACCAGTCACCCTCTCCCCGGTGTTCTAAAGCCCTGGATGCACCAGTCTCTCATGGACGACAGCAGTAGTGTTCTCTGGGTGTATGTTCTCTTGGGGTGTGGGCATCAGAGGATGAGGAAGATTTGGGGGGATGGATCATATAGCAAACAAATAAAAAATTGTCTAAGAGAGAAGATGCTTCGGTGAGAATTCTGTATTTCGATGACACTGTGGTGAATGTAACATGCAGACAAAGTCTTAGGACGTGTGATCTGATAAAGATTTCCCACCTGTGGAAAATACTTTCAAACCTGGGTTTGTGCATGGAAACTCTGTTTAAAGTGCTTTGTTTTGAAAAATCTTTCTGCTTATGAACAGAAAGGCAACGTATCTTAAGTTTAGAGTTCAGACACTCGCCTGGGAGCCTGTTAAGTCACAGTCACCATTTCCTAAGTGTGGGTGGCTGTGAGTGCCCTGGGAGAGCATCTCTTTCCTCACTCCTCCTGGCTGCTGCTGCTGCTGCTGCCGCCGCCACAGGAGGCAGATCTTGCTGCCTGGCCAGGTCTTCCTGCTGCAATAAGCAGGGCGAGGGGTGGGTATATTATTATTTTTACAGTTTGGCAATTAATTTACTTATCCTACTCATCTGACTTCAGGTACGAAGTATTTCTTATTCGTTTTCTTTCTGAAGTGTAGGCTCCAAAACTTTAATTTTAAACTTGTATTAGTGTAAACAACTAGATGATATCGCCACCTAGTGGCTTGTGGAAGAATCACCTCCTCAGGCTTGAAACAAAAAAGAAAAAAGTCAACATTCTAAATGATTGTATTAGGCTAAACATACACCAGGCCTTTTTCTGTCAAACAACTCATTATTTCATCATTCTGCTTAGACCCCACAGTAGCTGTCTCTATTTTTCCAACACCGTTGGCAGACACATGGCACTAGTATTTTGTGAAGGTTTAGACACTGGTTGTGCTGTTGGTACCAGAAATATTTGAGGAGACAGATACTGTTATCAGGCACTGAAACATCAGCTTTGAGTTGCTCTCCCTGTGGAAGGGAGAGAAGGAGTTTACTCCAACATGGTTCCCACTTCTGTGTGGGAAGTTGGGAAGGCCTGGGACACCCAGTTCCTATAATCTCGCAACCCCTTTACCGGGTTCAGTGTCCCCCTCTCATGTTACCTCATCTAAGTCCACAGATGCACAGATGTCAACCATTAGAGTGGATCTGTAGAGTCCGGAGAGTTGAGCTTCTCTCTGCTCACACTGTCCAGTGTGGAGTTCCAAGGCAGATGTGTGGTAGAAGCTGGGTGCTTGGACCAGAGTTCCGGGTGCTGACTAAGTGGATGGATGTGAGCAGGGCAGGTGGGATGTGGGTAGCTGCTGGTGGACAGACTCATGTTGGCTGACTTCATACCACTCCCTGTGAACCAGTGTCCTTCCCGGCCCCCAACCGAGTCACCCTCCTAAGTCAGAGGCCAATTATACCAGTATGGACATAGGGAACAGATGAAAGAAACTGACTTCAAATGGGAAATCTGATTTTATAAACTGTTTCCAAAATACTTGGATGAATAGACTCAGTGAAGTAGTTAGATTTTGAAGTGCTGGGAAGTTTTCGGACTGAAGCCAAGTAAAACTTTATTGTTTTCTACAGATTTAGGCTTCTGTGGGTCAGACTGGCTTGGAGAGAGGGCTGAGAGACAGTAAATAGATGAGGGGACATGCCAATATCCAACCTCAAGATCTCCAGAGCAATCTCAGCAGATTAAAACACAGATCTGTCTGACACCCCTTTCTATGTTACACAGCTGTTGGGACTTTAATCAGTGGGATGCTAAGACCCAAATCAAGCCACGTAGTTCCGTGGAGGGGCAAAGCATGCCTGTCGGTACTGTAGTGCGATGTGCCTGGCTTTCCTTGTAAGACATCTCCGTGACTATTTCCCACAGTGAAGTCCAGAGGTCTCAGCACACAGCTTAGTCTACAGCTTACTCCACTGCTTTCTGCATCCTGGCTCCTAAAACTTTGCCGAGTGTAGTTTTCTGTGTCATGTCTTGTTTCTTTACACTTCCTGTGAGTTCACTCTGGACCTTCCCCCTTCTGCCCCTGTGGAAAGCTCAACTTTGTTCATCTCTCAGGATACAACTCAAGTGTCTCACTTAGGACACCTCTGCCTGATCTCTGAAATTGCCTTTAGATGTCACCGTCCTGCATAGTTGCACTTTCCACTGGACATCTCTGTCGCAACATTTACCGGCTTCAGCGAGTTAATGTGTTGGTTTCCTTCCAGTAGAGTCTGCGCTTTCAAGTGTAGGCCTGAACACAGAAGAGGTTGTATCTGCAGTCTCAGGTTAAGCGGTGGGTTCCCTGGGGGCTGTGTCTACTGGAGGTAGTCATTCTTGAGCTCTTCTTCCCACTGAGCCTTTTCCCAGCTTATGTGTTGTCTGGCCAGGAGTTCTTATCTTGACTCTCTACGCCGTGCCTACATGATGTGAACTGAGACTTGCTGGTACTGTAGGATGCTCCTGCAGTACAATGACGGAGAACCCCGTGCTGTGGACTGGGCTGTTCTGAATTGCTTCTCCATCATGATCAAATTGTGCTTTACACTGCATAGAACTTGCTTGCATAGCCAGGGGCCCCCTGTTTGATTCATCTCTTCATTCTTCCACCTAAAACTACCCCACACATAGAGGCGAGTGGGGGTGCTGTGAATGGATCTTGTTTACGTCTGTAATAATCTACCTATTTTCCGAGGAGTTGCATTTTCCTGCAGCCACCCCTTTCCTGAATGGGAAAGGATACTGTTCTTCACTCTGCTCCCAAGAGGACTCAAACTCTTAATAGTTAAAATAGTCAGCAAGTTATTGTATCTGAAAGTTGAACTGGAATTCATGAGCACTGCTTTTATTTTTTTTCCATTCAAGAAAAGCAGTCTCAGAAATAAAAGTTGCAGGCCTTGTGTTTGTCATGCAGCAGGTGAGAACCGTCGTGTGCTTAGACTTGCTAGTGACAGTTGTGTAAATGACTGAGTAGTTTTATCTCAACACCAAGAAAGAAGCAAATGACGCTTTTCCAGTGAATGCTATTTGTGTGGCCATTTGTGTATCCATTTAATAAGTTGCCCCTGTGAAAGCACTAAAGTAGCTTTCTTCAGTGCTACAGGCAGTTGCCGGGTCTCATTTAAGTGGGTGAGTGTCTGACTTTAAGGAGCATCTAGCTTGTATGCCCCACTACCAGGATTGCTATAAAGAAATGCTTTCATTCAAATTCTTGTCAGTTCTTATTATAGCATATTGTGGAAATAAAGTGTGTGTGTGTGTGTGTGTGTGTGTGTGTGAGAGAGAGAGAGAGAGAGAGAGAGAGAGAGAGAGAGAGAGAGAGAATATATGTGTGTGTCCATATCTGGTGTCTTCCTCACTTCTTCAATCACTTTCCTTGGTTGGTCTTTCACTTTCCCTCCTTCCTTTTCTTTTTTCTTTCCTTTTCTTTTATTTTCTCCCTCTCTCCCTCCTTCCCTCCCTTTCTTTCTTTTTTCTTTCTTTCTCTCTCCCTTCCTTCCTTTCATGTTTTCTTTCTCTCTCCCTTCCTTCTTCCTTCCTTCCTTCCTCCCTCCCTCCCTTCTTTCTTTCTTTCTTTCTTTCTTTCTTTCTTTCTTTCTTTCTTTC